CGTGTTTGGAGGAGGAGGAATGCTGCCTATCACCCCAAGAACACCATCCCCACCGTCAAACATGGAGGTGGAAACATTATGCTTTGGGGGTGTTTTTCTGCTAAGGGGACAGGACAACTTCACCGCATCAAAGGGACGATGGACGGGGCCATGTACCGTCAAATCTTGGGTGAAAACCTCCTTCCCTCAGCCAGGGCATTAAAAAGGGTCGTGGATGGGTATTCCAGCATGACAATGACCCAAAACATACGGCCAAAGCAACAAAGGAGTGGCTCAAGAAGAACGCACATTAAGGACCTGGAGTGGCCTAGCCAGTTCCAGACCTTAATACCATAGAAAATATGTGGAGGGAGCTGAAGGTTTGAGTTGCCAAACGTCAGCCTCGAAACCTTAATGACTTGGAGAAGATCTGCAAAGAGGAGTGGAACAAAATCCCTCATGAGATGTGTGCAAACCTGGTGGCCAACTACAAGAAACGTCTGACGTCTGTGATTGCCAACAAGGGTTTTGCCACCAAGTACTCAGTCATGTTTTGCAGAGGGGTCAAATACTTATTTCCCTCATTAAAATGCAAATCAATTTATAAAAAAATATATATGCGTTTTTCTGGATTTTTTTTTTGTTATTCTGTCTCTCTCTGTTCAAATAAAGCTACCATTAAAATTATAGACTGATCATGTCTTTGTCAGTGGGCAAACGTACAAAATCAGCAGGGGATCAAATACTTTTTTTCCCTCACTGTAAGTGGGCTGCGAGGTACTGGTAGCTCACAATCTACCTTTTGGAGACCCCAGTTATAGCCTATAAGCACAATAATGCACATTCCTCATGCTTGCCGTTTAAGCTATGGGCTCAGTCTTGCAATTATCACCTTCCTCTCTCTCAATTTACCCTTGTTCTCGCACTTGCTGTTTTTCAGCAACAGTTTTCCAACGATGATCATTGCCTTCTGTGTTTGTAGAAAATCCTCCTTCTAGTCAGGGCTTGTTTATTATTTTGAGGTTCAAGGCCTGCTAGAATTTAGATGGGCTGAACTCTGCTCTAAGAACATGTTAGGGGATGTCTCCCCAGTGACCTCTCATTGGAACTCGACCTGTCAGTCACAAGCCCACCTGGCCCCAGGTCAATCGGCAAGTGCGGTGGGACTATAAAAGCATAGTTCCACCCTTACCGTTCTTTAGTGCAGAGTTCTTCCAAGAGAGATTTGGATACTTTCAGTCAAGTGGATTACACTGTAGTTGAAGACTGCATAATGGACTGCAAACTCTGGAAGAGGTTGTTTCTCCCAGAGGGAGGAAAAAGCTCCAGAAATCGGCTTCGCCAGCGAGGGGGGAAAACTCCAAGACAGGCTGGTCCTTCTCCGATCAGGCTGGTTCTTCCTCCGCTGCATTGCTGGCGCTGCGGCTTCCACCACCGTCTCCACTTGGGCCTACTTGCCGCTGCTGTGACCAACGACCCGGTGCTGGCGGCTATCCAGTCCATCCTTGGCACCATGGGCTCTATTGATGCATGGCTCCAGCTATGAGGGGTGATCCATACTGTCTCCAAGCCTGAGGACCACTATCCTTCAAAGGAAAGGCGTCAACCTCATCAGTCTCTTGCTGCCCTACCCTGGGTGTGACCGGGATCGCGGCTTGTGAATATGCAACAGCCGTCTTTAAAACCTCTGATCCCGGGCTACAGCGTATCCTTTCCATCGCAGATTGTGGTAGCATTTTAGGACCCCTTTAGGTATAAAACATAAATATTAAACAATTATTTGATAAAATATTGATTTTGGCCTTTACTACTGAAGCCCATAGAAACACATTGAATAACACATTCATAAATGGCAAAAAGGACAGTCAAAAAATTAATCATAAGAAACTAAATCTAAATCTAGGAGATATTTTTTTTTTTTAACTTTGTGATACTGAATGTTATCAGATCTTCAACCAAAACCTAATATTAGATAAAGGGAACTTAAGTGAACAAATAACACAACAATTACATAATTATTTCATTTATTTCATAAACAAAGTTATGCAACACCCAATTCCCCTGTGTGAAAAAGTAATTGCCCCCTTACACTCAATAACTGGTTGTGCCACCTTTAGCTGCACTGACTCCAACCAAATGCTTCCTGTAGTTGTTGATCAGTCTCTCACGTCGCTGTGGAGGAATTGTGGCCCACTCTTCCATGCAGAACAGCTTTAACTCAGTGACATGTGGGTTTTCAAGCATGAACTGCTAGTTTCAAGTCCTGCCACAACATCTCAATTGGGATATATTAATAATATTATGCCATTTAGCAGACGCTTTTATCCAAAGCGACTTACAGTCATGTGTGCATAAATTTTCACGTATGGGTGGTCCCGGGGATCGAACCCACTACCCTGGCATTACAAGCGCCATGCTCTACCAATTGAGCTACAGAGGACCAGGTCTGGACTTTGACTAGGCCATTCCAAAACTTCAAATGTGTTGCTTTTTAGCAATTTTCATGTAGACTTGATTGTGTGTTTTGGATCATTGTCTTGCTGCATGACCCAGCTGCGCTTCAGCTTCAGCTCACAGACGGATGGTCTGACATTCTCCTGTAGAATTCTCTGATACAGAGCAGAATTCATGGTTCCTTCTATTAAGGCAAGTCGTCCAGGTCCTGAGGCAGCAAAGCATCCCCAAACCATCACACCACCACCACCATGCTTGACCTTTGGTATGATGTTCTTACTGTGGAATGCAGAGTTTGGTTTTCGCCAGGCATTACTGGAACCATGTCGTCCAAAAAGTTATACTTTTGAATCATCTGTCCATAGAACGTTCTTCCAAGAGTTTTGATGATCATCCAGGTGCTTTTTGGCAAACTTGAGTCAACTTTTTGGACGAGATGGGTCCCATTATGCCTGGCGAAAACCAAACACTGCTGGTTTGGGGATGCTTTGCTGCCTCAGGACCTGGACGACTTGCCTTAATAGAAGGAACCATGAATTCTGCTCTGTATCAGATAATTCTACAGGAGAATGTCAGACCATTCGTCTGTGAGCTGAAGCTGAAGCGCAGCTGGGTCATGCAGCAAGACAATGATCCAAAACACACAATCAAGTCTACGTGAAAATTGCTAAAAAGCAACACATTTGAAGTTTTGGAATGGCCTAGTCAAAGTCCAGACCTAATCCCAATTGAGATGTTGTGGCAGGACTTGAAACGAACAATTCCTGCTTGAAAACCCACACGTCACTGAGTTAAAACAGTTCTGCATGGAAGAGTGGGCCAAAATTCCTCCACAGCGACGTGAGAGACTGATCAACAACTACAGGAAGCAATTGGTTGGAGTCATTGCAGCTAAAGGTGGCACAACCAGTTATTGAGTGTAAGGGGGCAATTACTTTTTCACACAGGGGAATTGGGTGTTGCATAACTTTGTTTATGAAATAAATATGTAATTGTTGTGTTATTTGTTCACTTATGTTCCCTTTATCTAATATTAGGTTTTGGTTGAAGATCTGATAACATTCAGTATCACAAATATGCAAAAGTAGAGAAAATTAGAAAGGGGGCAAATACTTTTTCATAGCACTGTATATATATTTTTTATTTTTTACACATATTTAACCCCTTTTTTGGGTAAGCACAAAACTATCTTCATACTTCCATTCCTTTTTTTAAACTGGTACCGGTTACCTTCAGATGAGTCCCGTGACACTTGTGGGGGTCGTGGAGAAAATAAGTTGTGATAATCTCCCGTTTCCATAGAGTGGTCATAATAGTAATAGCCCAAACAGTTCGGACGCTACAGACGTTTACGTGAGAAGATCGATTTTAGGGATGTCTCATGGTCTGACAAACACCGCTCAAGCTCTGCCAGATTTCACTGCAGTGTCGGAAGTGAGACACTGGCGGATGTGGTGGATTGATCCAATGCAAAAAACAGATATCTCTAGTTTAAACAGATATCGTTACATAACAAAATGCATAATATTTAGACAATTTGATGAGCAAGTGTTCTTGCATGATCTGTTCCATAATATTGACAGATTAAGTCTGATTCCCAATGTTGACTCTGCCTGGGACTATTTGTTATATTAAATTTGTGTCCATTTGTGATAAGCATGGCCCTGTGAAGAAATGTAGAATCAGTGGAAGGGACAATCCCTGGTTTTCAGATAAATTGTCAGAATTAATTAGACAGAACAATGTTTCTTGGGCTAATGCTAGACCTACAAATGCACCTGCTGACTGGACCTCCTTCCGAGCCCTAAGAAACAAGTGTATGGGGTTGATCAGGAAATCTAAATCAGATTTCTCTCTGAAAGCAGTCACAGAGAACCTTAACAACCATACCAAGTTTTGGAAACTAAATAAATCCTTGTCGGGTTCAAATGTATCATCTGGCCTTCCTGACCATTTAGTGATGGATTCAAATGAAGTGAAGGATAAAGCTGATATTGTAGGGATCTTTTACAAGCACTTCATATCTGGTGATTCAGTTTTTGATAATGGTCAGTGAGCTCTGTGGCCCTCATGTCAACCCTTTTAACTTTGAGACTTTTTCTTATGCTGAGGTCTATAAGCTCTAAAAGCAATAGACCCTAAATGGTCTGCAGTCCCAGACAACTTGGATCCCTATCTCTTGACCAATTCTATACCCCAAATCTGGAAATCAGCTTATGTCCTCAAACTACTAAAGGGTTGAGACCCTTCAGATATAACTACCGCCCTGTCTCCAAGCTCCCTACCCTGGCCAAAGTCTTTGAATCCATTGTGAACTCCCAACTAAAGAAATGCTTACTTAAAAATAACATCCTGAGCGGTTTTCAGTCTGGTTTTAGGTTGGGGCACAGCACCATAACTGTAGCTTGACCACGTGTTGTTGCTAGCCAGACTCAGCAACATTGGTGTTCGTGAATGGGCTGTCAATTTGTTTAGAAATTATCTTGCAGACAGAACACAATGTGTCTATGCTGAGAATCACAAGTCTAGCTTCCTTTAGATCACTAGAGGTATAAGCCAAATTGCATATGTATGCAGATACATTGCATCTGTATGCAGATGATACGGTCATCTTCTCAAATTCTCCATCTCTGTTTCAGGCTGTTGAAGAGGTCAATACTGACTTTTAGTCACTGCAGACCTCCCTATATGGTCTCAAACTAGTCTTGAATGCTCAAAAAACTAAATTAATGTTCTTCACCAGAGCACGCTCTCATCCTGAGAAGGTTAGCGTTTTGATCTCAGGGGGCACACCCATTGAAAAGGTGTCATCCTACAAATACCTTAGTATTTGGTTACAAAGTTAATGTAGATTATTTTCGTAACAAGGCTTGCTTCCCGTTTCAGGATAGAAAGAAGCTTGTTCAAGACAGTTTTCTTTCTGTAATTGATTATGGTGACTTATTTTATATACATCAAATCACATTATATTGGTCACATACACGTATTTAGCAGATGTAATTGCGGGTGTAGTGAAATGCTTGTGTTCCTAGCTCCTAGCTACATGCAACCTCTTAAAGAGACATGATCATGCATCTTTGCGTTTTTTTACAAATGCCAAGTCGCTCACCCACCATTGCACTTTGTATCAAATGGTGGGATGGACATCGCTTTACATGCGCAGAGAGCTACATTTGTATGTGTTTATCTACAAAGCCCATCTGGGTAAACTCCTCCTCTACGTGAGTAACCTGCTCTCTCCTTCACCACTAGCAGTTACCAGACACAGTCTACTATGTGGTTGCTACTTAAAGTCCCCAGGGCCGTTCCCGAGTTAGGCAAGACTGCCTTTTCCCAATGTGCAGCAGAGGCATGGAATAGTCTGCAAGGTGTGCTTCAACTAGATGTACCAGTGCCCCTTAGTGAGTTTAAAACTCTGGAGGAGTGTAAATGCTTCCTGTAGGCCAGATCAACTCTTGATGACATGTTGTTGTGCTGTTTATATTGTATGTTAAAAATGTTGTATTGACTGCTGCTGCTTTCTTGGCCAGGTCTCCCTTGCAAAAAATATCCAGTGTCTCAATGTTTATTTCCCCTGGTTAAATAAAGGTTCTCGAAGGCTATTCATGCCCAACACAACCATTTCATGAATAGTTACTATGGCTGTTTGTTAAACAATGTGTTGCCTTGTGTCATAAACTTTCTTTTGCAGGGAGAGCACAGAGTAACACTTTACATACAAAACTATGTGGACACCCCTTCAAATTAGTTGATTCGGCTATTTCAGCCACACCTGTTGCTGACAGCTGTCTCCATAGACAAACACTGGAAGTAGAATGGCCTTACTGAAGAGCTCAGTGACTTTCAACATGGCACCGTCATAGGATGTCACCTTTCCAACAAGTCAGTTCATCAAATGTCTGCCCTACTAGAGCTGCCCCAGTCAACTGTAAATGCTGTTATTGTGAAGTGGAAACATCTAGGAGCAACAACGGCTCAGTCGTGAAGTAGTAGGCCAAACAAGCTCACGAACTGGGCCGCCGAGTGCTGAAGAGCATTGTTCGTAAAAATCATCTGTCCTCGGTTGCAACACTGCCTCTGGAAGCAACATCAGCACAATAACTGTTAGTCGGGAGCTTCATGAAATGGGTTTCCATGACCAAGCAGCCGCACACAAGCCTAAGATCACAATGCGCAATGCCAAGCGTCGGCTGGAGTGGTGCAAAGCTCGCCGCCTTTGGACTCTGGAGCAATGGAAGCGTGTTCTCTGGAGTGTTGAATCACGCTTCACCATCTGGCAGTCTGACAGATTAATCTGGGTTTGGTGGATGTCAGGAGAACGGTACCTGCCAGAATGCATAGTGCCAACTGTAAAGTTTGGTGGAGGAGGAATAATGGTCTGGGCTGTTTTTCATGGTTCGGGTTAGGCCCCTTAGTTCCAGTAAAGGGAAATCTTAACACCACAGCATACAATGACATTCTAGACCATTCTGTGCTTCCAACTTTGTGGCAACAATTTGGGGAAGGCCTTTTCCTGTTTCAGCTGTTATAGCAGCAAAGTGAGATGTACGAATGAGATGTTCGACGAGCAGGTTTCCAAAGACTTTTGGTCATGTAGTGTATTTCCAAATATAGCTATTCTCTGCAGGGACAAGGGTCTATATACGGAGGCTACTGGTAGTGGTTCGAAAGTATAATTCATGATTAGCCTATATTTATCTCATTGTCACTTCATTCTTAAGCTCTGCACGCAATGCATAGGCATAGTTATTATCAGAGGTGGCACCACAGGTTCAAAAGTGGTGTGGCAAAATTTTTACATATATTTTCTGGGGTCTGGAGTTTTTCTTGATCTCATGACCTGGTCAGGTAAAACTCAGTGTCCTATTCGTAGGCTATGACAAAATATTATTATTACAGATAGCTTCCATTTTCATCTGTGCTATGACTACAGGGCTATGGTTTTTCTTGTCGGGTCATGTGAATTGGAAACATTCCTGGCCTAAGGTGGATCAAATAATTTCGAACAACCACAAACCTTGTTATTATTTTATTTTTCACATGCTGTGTAGAATAACAGTGAAATGCTTACTTACAGGTCCTTTTCCAACAATGCACAGTTAAGATAAAGATACAAAATTGAAATAGTGACACGAGGAATAAATACACAGTGAATAATGAAGTGATAATGCCCGAGAAGCCGGTGTTTGGAGGATATATTTGCACGGTTATTGTTAGGCCCAAGACGAGGGCATTATCACTTTTATACAACGGGTTATAACAAATAACTTTAACTCTATGTTCATCATTAACCCAATTTTATCTCATAGTCCACTAAAAAATCTCCATCAGTTACCAACATATTCAAATAATGATAATGAATGATTTCATTAAAAACGTTATTTTGATTAATGTAATCATACTATTTCATCCTTCCACAAGATATATTCCCGACTCAAATCTAGGGTTATTACCCAAGCCGGCTGGTTGTTCGTTCTATTGGTTCAGTTGCCAGAGACGCAACCCATCATTCAATCTTTTTGTTCTGTATCTATGGACGTGACCCAGTCATTCATTCTAAATGTTCCATTGCCATACTGGCTGGCAACGGTCTTATCCCTTGCTTGCTAGCTAACCAACTACGGATAACTTGCATTTGCATTGAATAAGCTGTTTTCCCGTGACATTTATTTGGAGACATCCATAACAATGAGCTAACGAGGCGCGATTTCACCTGGCATAGAAAATGTGCTCACTCGTCAGGGCACTGTTGTTCAGAGGAGCTAGCCAACAACACAGCTTAGACAATCACTTCAAACTGAAGCTGGAAAGAGTGCAAACTACAGTGGCTTGCAAAAGTACTCACCCCCCTTGGCATTTTTCCTATATTGTTGCCTTACAACCTGCAATTAAAATAGATTTTTTGGGGGTTTGTATAATTTGATTTACACAACATGCCTGCCACTTTGAAGTTGCAAAATATTTTTTCTTGTGAAACAAACAAGATGTAAGACTAAAAAACAGAAAAGTTGAGGGTGCATAACTATTCACCACCCCAAAGTCAATATTTTGTAGAGCCACCTTTTTAAGCAATTACAGCTGCAAGTCTCTTGGGGTATGTTTCGATAAGCTTGGCACATCTAGCCACTGGAATTTCTGCCCATTCTTCAAAGCAAAACTGCACCAGCTCCTTCAAGTTGGATGGGTTCCGATGGTGTACAGCAATCTTTAAGTCATACCACAGATTCTCAATTGGATTGAGGTCTGGGATTTGACTAGGCCATTCCAAGACATTTAAATGTTTCCCACTCGAGTGTTGCTTTAGCAGTATGCTTAGGGTCATTGTCCTGCTGGAAGGTGAACCTCTGTCCCAGTCTCAAATATCTGGAAGACTGAAAGGTTTCCCTCAAGAATGTCCCTGGATTTAGTGCCATCCATCATTCCTTCAATTGTTCAAAGATTCAGATTTTTTTTTATAACCCAACCCTGATCTGTACTTCTCCACAGCTTTGTCTCTGACCTGTTTGGAGAGCTCCTTGGACTTCATGGTGCCGCTTGCTTGGTGGTGCCCCTTGCTTAGTGGTATTGCAGACTCTGGGGCCTTTCAGAACAGGTGTGCACAGTGAGGGAAAAAAGTATTTGATCCCCTGCTGATTTTGTACGTTTGCCCACTGACAAAGACATGATCAGCCTATAATTTTAATGGTAGGTTTATTTGAACAGTGAGAGACAGAATAACAACAAAAAAAATCCAGAAAAACGCATTTAAAAAATGTTATGAATTGATTTGCATTTTATTGAGGGAAATAAGTATTTGACCCCTCTGCAAAACATGACTTAGTACTTGGTGGCAAAACCCATGTTGGCAATCACAGAGGTCAGACGTTTCTTGTAGTTGGCCACCAGGTTTGCACACATCTCAGGAGGGATTTTGACCCACTCCTCTTTGCATATCTTCTCCAAGTCATTAAGGTTTCGAGGCTGATGTTTGGCAACTCTAACCTTCAGCTTCCTCCACAGATTTTCTATGGGATTAAGGTCTGGAGACTGGCTAGGCCACTCCAGGACCTTAATGTGCTTCTTCTTGAGCCACTCCTTTGTTGCCTTGGCTGTGTGTTTTGGGTCATTGTCATGCTGGAATACCCATCCACGACCCATTTTCAATGCCCTGGCTGTGGGAAGGAGGTTCTCACCCAAGATTTGACGGTACATGGCCCCGTCCATCGTCCCTTTGATGCGGTGAAGTTGTCCTGTCCCCTTAGCAGAAAAACACCCCCAAAGCATAATGTTTCCACCTCCATGTTTGACGGTGGGCATGTTGTTCTTTGGGTCATAGGCAGCATTCCTCCTCCTCCAAACACGGTGAGTTGAGTTGATGCCAAAGAGCTCGATTTTGGTCTCATCTGACCACAACACTTTCACCCAGTTCTCCTCTGAATCATTCAGATGTTCATTGGCAAACTTCAGACGGGCCTGTATATGTGCTTTCTTGAGCAGGGGGACCTTGTGGGCGCTGCAGGATTTCAGTCCTTCACGGCGTAGTGTGTTACCAATTGTTTTCTTGAGGACTAGGGTCCCAGCTGCCTTGAGACCATTGACAAGATCCTCCCGTGTAGTTCTGAGCTGATTCCTCACCGTTCTCGTGATCATTGCAACTCCACGAGGTGAGATCTTGCATGAAGCCCCATGCCGAGGGAGATTGAAAGTTATTTTGTGTTTCTTCCATTTGTGAATAATCGCACCAAGTGTTATCACCTTCTCACCAAGCTGCTTGGCAATGGTCTTGTAGCCCACTCCAGCCATGTGTTGGTCTACAATCTTGTCCCTGACATCCTTGGAGAGCTCTTTGGTCTTGGCTATGGTGGAGAGTTTGGAATCTGATTGATTGATTGCTTCTGTGGACAGGTGTCTTTTATACAGGTAACAAGATGAGATTACGAGCACTCCCTTTAAGAGTGTGCTCCTAATCTCAGCTCGTTACCTGTATAAATGACACCTGGGAGCCAGAAATCTTTCTGATTGAGAGGGGGTCAAATACTTATTTCCCTCATTAAAATGCAAATCAATTTATAACATTTTTGACATGCGTTTCAAATAAACCTACCATTAAAATTATAGACTGATCATTTCTTTGTCAGTGGGCAAACGTACAAAATCAGCAGGGGATCAAATACTTTCTTCCCTCACTGTATATATACTGAGATCATGTGACACTTAGATTGCAGACAGGTGGACTTTATTTAACTAATTATGTGACTTCTGAAGGGAATTGGATGCACCAGATATTATTTAGAGGCTCCACAGCAAAGAGGGTGAATACATATTCACGAACCACTTTTCTGTTTATTTTTTTTTTTTTGAATTCTTTGAAACAAGTTATTTTTTTCATTTCACTTCACCAATTTGGACTATTTTGTGTAT